GGAACACCATTATTTTGTTTTAATCAACCTAACCTTTAAAGTTAAAACTCTAATGAAAACCGTCGACATCAAAACATGTTTAACTAAACAAAATCGTTTTTCATTAGTCATATTTATCTTTGCATACAAATACAATATATAAATTAAATTTCTCCTAAAACAATGTCGCCGCACCTATCAGCAGTATCAGCCTTTTATGATTTATAATAGCTGATATTAGCTAGTGTACATAATATTCTTATGTAGATATTGTATATTAATCGATTATATTATAATATAATAGATTGTTTAAATTTTGAATCAGTAGATATAAGATAAGATAATATGATTATTTTTTTTTAATACGTATTAGGTTATATTAATCTGTTAAAATATGTTAAAATACTGTTGTAAATTTAAGAACAAACCTTATTTATCAATATTGTTGTTTTAATACAAAGCTATAAATTTTTATGCAAAAATATGTTTTTAATGGATGGTATGCACAACTATGAGAGTAAGACATGTCAGCGATTCACAGCACAAAGAATCTGAATACAAAATTTTATTTTGCATATATGTGCATTTTTTGATATTAAGAAAGTATATTCATATCTAATCATTTTTTTTTTTTTGTACATTTGACTAATTAAAAATATATGAATTGAAATATTTCCAGGAATTAAAAAATTATGTACATTTCAACCGGCGCGATCAATTTTTTCCGTTTTATAATAATTTATTAATGGGTACGTCGTACGATAATTTTCAATGCCACTATGATTTGATAATTGGAAAATGATAATGAAATGCAAATATTATTATTTTAATGTTTATCATAATACGAATACGGTAAATGATATTGTTACACGTTCTGTTAGTCGAATTTTTGATATCTAGTCATCATTTTACAGACAACCACGTAAATTATCACATGTTTCCCTATAGTGATAATGAGTTATTGTTTCGTATTCGAAGTTTAATAAAATTAAATAAATAATTTGTTTATATTTTATAACTATTGTGCTTTGATTCACAAGTTTTAATTTGATGAAATGCCGAGTTAATGGCCCTAAAAAAGTGGGTTTATTATTATTTTAACAATATTTTTAGAGAATATTACAAGCATATATGCAAAATTTTAAGAGAATGTAAGCATCATATTTTGGCTACTTTAAGAGTATATAATTCCGCGCTCTAGCTATAAGTAACATACTCATTTATAATATAATGATATTATATTATCTACATAATCTTTGTCTAATTTACTTTGGAATGATGATAGTTGAATTTTAAGATGTTTTTCATCGTATAAAATTGAATTAGTTTACAATAACCTTTTTTTCCATTGATTATAATAATGACGCTTCTATAGAAATAACTTTTGCGTGATATGTTTGTAATCGAATCTCATGCTTGCTCATGTACCTCATCACGGAGTAATGCCGTAAGTAGAGGTTGGCAAAATGAGTAGCTGTTAAAAGCGTAGCAAATTCAGTGGGTGCATTTAAGTTGGTCGAATTAAGATTTTAATTATAATTGGTTCAGTTTTCAGTAATTTTACTTAATTAAATATCAGAGTTCCTAATTGTTTTCATCAATTATTTAAATTTATACTAAAATCAAAAGTATAATATGCAGTATGAAAACTTGTACATACTCGTTTTTCTATCTCGTGATACTTTAAGGGCATAACATATCGTATTTCTTTAATAAATACGATGGTCTTAAATTTCAAAACGAACAATTTTAATCGTAAATTCGTTAACAAGTTATGAGTAAAAACGGTGGGGGCGTTAATATCCTTTTTGAGAAGTCGAAGGCTAATCGCAAAGAGTAGGCTTCAGGAATGTTTGTAAATTCATCAGTAAGGTATAGTCTGATTTTGTTTTGAAATAAATTTAGCTTTCAAGGAATCAGTTTATTACTTTTCATAATTTGATTGTACATTATTATTACCAAATAATAGCAGGAATAAAATGTATCAAAGTACTCTTTGAAATTTATTCTGAACGATATACGTCTAACCAGTCCCCTCCCATTTGGAAATTGTCGTTTTTTTTTATTTAAATATTTATTATATAATTAGTACCAATTAGATAAGGATTTATTATGGTCAAATATTGATAAAAGAAATTAATACCTATATTTTATACATTGCAAACCGAGGAAAAATCGGCGAGAAGACAGATAGATTATTATTAACTTTTACCGGGACGGGGGTTGGTAGGGATTTTGGAAACGGAGATACAAATGCATACTAATGACATACTAAATATTTGCGTCGTTAAATTTTCAATTTTACGTATATTTACATATGGGGGCCCCATTTAAATGTCGATTTACTGCAATAAAAAATGGCATACGGATTCCGGGTTTACGCATACAAATACGTACTAATTTCATGCTAAATATTAAATAAAAAAACGACAACATTCAAATGGGTGGGGAGAGGTACTAGCGAGAAGTAAGTTTTCTACGTACTAGATATCCGTCACTATAGTAGAATTTACCTCCGCCTACTTTGTATTATAGAACTTAGCGAAACGATTAATTACCGAATAGCAAAATAATACGCTACTATTATAGTTTAAATACTACATACTACAATTATTATATTATTACCTTATTATAAAATAATGAAGGAACTTGATGATACAAATGTTTAAGGAAGGGGTTTAAAGTCGAATCCCATAAGAGGCACATTCCTATTGATACTAACACCATACATACACAACATTTTATCTGTCTTGCTTCATTCGGAGGTCTCTTGGGATGAACAAATCTGAAAAACTACCCTCCTTCTGCAATAACATATGGTGACATTTATATTGAAATTGTATTACTTCAATCCACCTACGTATAAACAAAAAAAACCCTTTAATTCCCCAGTTTCAGATCATTTGGTCTAAAGGGATCCTCTTAAAGTGTCTGAAAGTAGTGTAAAAAAAGTTATGTATTATATAGTATTATGAAACAGACACGATATAGTGCACGTCTCGGGGAAAATTCGAAAATAATAAAATGACTGTAAGTGTACATAATAGATACACGTCATATTAAATCGGGTGAGCACCTATAGATTATTTTGTATTTTAAATATTAAATGCACACAAATAATACGAAACATATTCTAATAGGTATCTACTTTATATGCAATGTATTTTCGAGTATCAAATGTCAAATATCGAAACACGGTAACATCGGTAACGCGTGTAATTCGATTTACCGGTTTGTGTAATTGGAATTTAAGTCGCGACTTGTGACACGTTTCGCCAACAATATTATAATATGCGTAAAATATTATATCAAGAATATGTCGGTACGAATTCGACGAATTTTAATGTCTGAAAATGTAGTTATGACGGTTCTGTGACTTGCTGTTTTCCGTTTCAATAATTTAAGCCCATGAATTTGGCACACGCACGCCCGTGTCACTGTACAAAGAATAATACATTAGGAAAATCCTCGTATTATTATAATATATTAACCCTTGCAGATTTCGTGAATAGACTTGTACATAACGGGGGTTGATTTGCAAGGATCATAGTTCGTAGAAGATATTTTAGTGCCAATTTGGAAATATTTAGGGCCACACGATGTTTTTAGTTTTTTAAATTTCCTTGAAAGTATTATCCGACAAATTCCAGAAATAGATTTATGGACTTGCCTAATATTTTCAAAATATAGGTACAGTTTTGAACTTTATGCTATGGACGGTGTGAGCAAATTTCACGCTAGTCAATTATTTTATTAATTCAGTATCTAGTTTGTTTATGTCCCAACATTTTGTATCAATATATATTTATTTATTTGGACGGGCAAGATGCTTATTTAAATGAAAATAATATGATCGGTAGCGTACAATTTTCTAAATTAAAACCTTAGTTATTACACCTTATTAAGTAGGTACCTAATACATTTTTAAAATGCATTACCATCGTGAAACTGAACTAATTACAATATAAATTTATAAAAATACATCAATCATAGGTTCTAGACTTCTGGTTATTCTCATATTTTAATTAATTTAATTATTTAAATATATATTAAGCATAATAACATTTGTACCTAAAAATAAATCTACATGAAATAGGTTGACTAATTCCATACCTCTGTTCAAAGGAGAACTTCGACCATAATTGGTATATTGAAATTATACATAAAATGTATTTAGTTGTCTAGTGCTACGACTAGGGGCCAGGAAATTTAAGCTCGAAAGTAATTCAGATCAATAAACTTGTCCATTAAGTAGTTTAAAAATAAAACAGAGATCTAACCTTTTTCTCCGTATCACCAACTGTTCAATGTTTATAAGGGATAATAACGGCTGGTAAGAGGAGTGAGATCGACGTTAATTAGTTATATCTGCATGCAATGTATTGTTAACGAAAAACGATCGGAGCGAGTTCGGTAAGACATGTTTTGAAATACCGTAGATTTTACGATTTTCAATTTACAAAAATTGTTTTTAAACGTGTATGAAAAAAAAGAAAAGAAAATAATACATTAAACTCAAATTTGTTTTTTAGATTATTGACTACTATAATAGTTTATTAGCATACTAATAATTTACCATGTGTTAAATTTAAATTTCTCTTGAGTCATATAATTTTAATAATAGAAACCTATCAAAAATAAATACGTATAAAAACACGAAAATATCAAATACCTATAAATAACCTATAAGTAATTACAAAGTTTTGACAAATTAAATACGTCTACAAAATTCTTAGTATAAGTATTTTGTGAAAATTGCACATCTTTACAATAATTTTTATCCGTATGACAACAAAAGACCCACAAACTGTACACTTTTTGGTAGAAAACATATATAGTTCGCATAAACTAAAAACAATGAACTCGGTAACGCCGTCAATATTTGCCGTTTTACATATAATTTGCAGCTCTGGTTTTTCAAATATTTTAAAAAATTAAAAAATGACTAGTCTAATCACTAAACAGACAAAATTACCTTTCAGAAAATATACTACACTTTATACATCGGAGGAAGATTTCTGGTACATAAAAGTTTTTTACAGACATAAAAAAGACGGACATACTTTGCATATAGGTGCAGCCACTTATGCAGGTGGGAAGTTGGGAAGATAGGATGCAGACAGTAATTAAATGTACATCTGTGAGCAATGATAAACCATTGTTAACGAAAAGACGATTCTGAGTGGAGTTCATTTGTTCATAGTGTTGCTTTGTAAACAATACATATGTCATATTATGGTGAAATTATTACAACAATGTGCGTTTCCATAACAACGATTGTTTAAAAAAACTTAACAATAATAATAAAAAAAAATGTATAAAAACGGTTGCCAATGACAACCTTATTTTTAATCAATCAAGCTTTTTTAACTTAATAAGAACCATGTTTACCTCATTATCTCGAATATTAATGAGAATATCAAAAAATGGCATCTTTAATCCAGAGAATATTTCCTTTGAGAAAAGGTGCTATACTCGATAATCAGAGTATGCTTTCTGGTTGAAAAAGTGTTGAAATCATAAGAAAAAATAAATAATAAACACTATTTTAAAACCATTAGATCCATCGTTACGCTCCGAATATAAAAATATAAAAATAAAAATATCATAACTCAAGGCTTAATTAAGTATTTCAAAAAAAAAAAAAAAAATTAATCGAAAAAAAATGATTTCATATTTTGTTGAATCTTCGTGGGCACCCTCTGTATGTCCTGCATTACCTACGCTTTCCCGACTATACCCAGTACCCATCTATATTACGACTATCAACCGACGAGTGACCTAGACCGATGTCCACGGATTTTTTTTTTTTTACCTGCAACAGTTAGAACTTATAACGTATTGTATTATACGTGCGTAGTCCGCGTAAAAGCGCATTATTCTATTTCGGATAAACGCTCGCTGCCCTTTCGAAATCGGAGGAGTCTTAAAACCGTCTATACCGTATATTATGTATAAAAATACGCAATAGTAAACCCGAGCGTCACGATAGTCAATTTTTCTCCGAATCCGTTTTTGTATACTTTTATATATAAAATATACTTTTTTTTTTTTTTTCTTATTCGACTGGGTTTCATCGCTTTATATTATAATATGTATATGTGTACCACACATATACAGTTATACAGACACACACACGCGCACACACATACGTGCAACATAATATATATATATATATGTATAAGTTAAAAAAAAAAAAAACGCATTACCCCGGCGGTATCGACGCATATCCAAAGTCGGTGAACGGTATTGCGTTACGGCTATACGTATACTGTAGCGCGTACACCGAGCGGAGGGAAAAAATGGCTTTCCGATACGCCGACACTCGCGGTCCGTTCCGGGACATATAGAAAAAAAAAAAAACCAGTGGCGGCGGCGGCAACCGAAAAACCGTACGACCGTAACCGCTACATCTTGAACAGGTGCTTTTTATTAAACGCCATCGTCTTATACCGCTACGCGCATCCCCACAATATAATAATATGTATTTTGATATAATAATACGAAACGTATAAGGTACGTAAAAAAAAAAATAAAAAAATAAAAAAAAATAATAAAAAAATAAAAATGTTCGGTAAATAATATGTCGTCGTCGGGAAATTGACGAAATTATATTATAATACTATACATATATATGCACGAGTATATAGATACACTAGTGTATTATTATATTATTTTCGTAACGTATCCCCTAGTTCAGTGTTTCAGGGAGCAGCGGCTGTAGGTCTTTAAACGCGTTATCGTTTGCGCCTGAATCCGTATGATATACGAGGAAATGTCGTGTTTTTTTTTTCCAAAAAGCCAGTGCACTGTAAATAGCAATAAAATATACTTTTTTTTTTTTTTTTGGATGATTCTGAGCGAAAATATTGGTTTTACGTATTATGTATGCGTGGTTGTTTTCGACTGTAAATAAATTCGGGGCCAGGGCTGCGCTTATTCCAATCGAAAATTCTATATGGTTATAGAAAGTTTTTTTTTGTGTATGTGTAGCGTTTCGGAGCATCCATCATAGTTGGCGTGCACGATAGAGATCGATTTTTGATAGCGTTTCTTTTAATTTTTCTAAAACCAGGGGCGACCTGACAAAAATCACATTTTGTTTTTCGTTCTATCAGATTCAACAGTGTAATTATAACGAACAAGTTACATTTGTTTTACAAAAAGATGATTTTACTCGGAATACGCCTTTTCAATTAGTAAAATATGTTTCACCCCTATAGGCCCTTTTTTTAAAATATGCTTTGTTTTTTTTTTTTTTGTTGATTTCGAGGGAAGAAACATGCTTGATTTTATATTACTCTGCTAAAAATCTTTTTTTATTTGCAACGACTTACCGTTATTTTCAATGTATTACAAACTAAATTAACCTTTGCGCGTCTTACCTTCCCAACCACTTACCTCCAACACCGACCTACGATCTGACGTTAATTGTACCTGTTTTTTGTTATATTAGTTTCTGTGTCTGCTCGTTCACACCAAAAACAAATATAAAGTTGCAAATAATACGAGTTCCCCCGAGAATCATTTATCCGTTATTGCTATCGGGGAACCGTTGCTTATCCTCGGTGCATCCGTATTTAATAAAAATAGAATCTTTATTTGGTTCATTTTAAACAGACCTCGGCTGTGTTTAATATTTTTCACAAAAACAATTTAGTGGCCGTGTCGAGTTAAGTACCTAAGTGGCGGTTCTCGAAACCCGTCTAACGGCATTTCGACTGGAGACCCTACGGATCGGTCACATGGACCTTGTATGTATAGACGTAGGTACGTAATCATCACGGGCACAGAGAAGTCGACCCAAAACGACAGCAGACTTCAATTAAACGGATATTATCGTGCAAGCCTCCGAACGGGGACCACGGCGCGTTTGATCTTCGGGACTAAATTAATGATCTTAGAGAATTCGGAATGACAGTGCAACACGCTGTATATAGGTACTGGGCGGTCTCTGGTGAATCGAGATGCTAATCGGCGCGGATTGCTGTAATCGTATTATACACACATTGATGTCAAACATAATATGGAATCGGTTTTTCGAAAACACACATAGGTACATACGTTTTTCTTTTCCTGCCGATACAGGTTACGGATGGACGGATATAAAAAAAATGTCAACACAAAAATTTATTTTAACTAATACTCAATCTATTTATGGACTTTAAAATATAGGTTGCTGTTTGAAAATCTAAAGTAGGTAGTCGTTATACCCCCAAAAATAAGGGCGTTGTAAAATATGTTGTAGCGACAAATATAACACGAATATAAAATTATGTAGCAGCTTGTTTCTTAAATGTTCTAAAATATAAATTCTGGAAAAAGTTAATAATTTCCGAGATAATGAGCGTACCCACTTAAAACGATCATCCGGTATGTTGAAATTTAATATTGTTTTATAATTGTAATTATGTTTTACAATACCTTAGGTAAAAATGTATTACATTTATTTTGAAACGGGCTAATAAAGGGTGCGTAGTTGAACCTAGATGGTTGGATGTTGGTAACAAGAAACCTTGATAACTCGAAATTCTCGATATCTCTAATTAATTAAATTCCCCTTCAAATAACAATAACACTTGATGTTAAAATAATCTTGTCAACCTGAAAACTAACTGGATAAGATTTCGATTTCTCGAATTTTCTTATCCAAATTTGTATAGTATATAGTTTTTCACCGCGATTATTTTTCGTTTAAAACTTTATTCGTAAAACCCAACCATTACAACCGACTATCGGTATATTTTATTTTTGTTTTCAATACACCCTTAACAATAATAATAAATAATAAATAAATTTAAACTTATTTTATAGTCAAATGACATTTCGGAATCTGGATTTCATAGTAGCTCATCAGTAGCATATCACTATTACATTTAAATTTTCTTAGTTATCAATCGCCAATTCATAGTTACGCAATGCCAAAAAGTAATCTGCTATTGCCTCCACCAAAATCAAAACAAAATGGAAATTAATTTCAACTTTAACAAAAAAAAAAATCGTTTGATAACTCGAAATTTTTAGTAAGACGAATTTTTTTTCCTCGTGAACTTCGAGTTACCAAGAGTGCACTGTATACACATTTATATATTTCATAATAAAATTATAAATTCAAAAAAGAATTTTACCTACAGTTACGAATTATTTAATTTAAATTTGCGCAAAACAAGGACGCGTCACGTACAGCGGAATCTATTTAGTTTTTGTCGGATGTTTACGCTGAATTTATTTTATCACCACGGTTACCAACTAAAATACCATTAACCTTTACAGTTTCCGATTTTTTTTTCTTACGAAATTCGTATTATATAATATCATATACTCTTAATTTAGGCACGCAAAATACAAACTAAAGTGCAAAATTTTATTAAAACAAAAAAAAATCGTAATATTTGCTTCCGTGAAAATAATCACCTAATTATATTAAACATAACACTATAGCTACGGTAATTCAGATAAGTAAAAATTATATTAGTAAATATTAAAGTAAAAAACATACATATATATTTTTTACGATATACCTAAGTAGTTAAAACTTGGATTTGTTTTAATATTAAAATCGTTATAAAAAATATGACTAGGTAACCAAAATCATTAAAATTATATTAACACCGAGCTTACAACAGGTAGACATAATATGATATATTATTTATTTATTTTTAAATAGGTCAAAGCCCAAAAAGGCAAAAACGGCATTACCTAAATTTAATGAGATTATTTAAAAAAATTGTTTTTCTTTGCCTCCTTTTGCTTTATCGTGTGCTTTACAGATTGTTCGATAATTATTATTTGCTATGTCTTCTTTTGGGTACCATATACAGGGTGTTCTACAGTGTTATTCTTAAATTAATAATAATACTGTCAATATTCATTTTTTTTTTTTTTTTTAATCGTATCTTTCGCGAAGGGGACATATGAGGAGTAAAATTAAATTTTATTTTTTTCACTTAATCGCCGAAAACAATTTTTTTGTTTTTTTACTTTTTAAAATTTTCAAAATTGCTTTTTCGTAAAATTCTAAAAATGTCAATGTTCATAAGATAGGCGTAAACACAATAATTATTATTTATTAGAAGATAAGGAATTACCGTGCTGATTGAGATACGAAAATAAAAATTTAATATTTCTCTTTACATATGAGTCCCCCTCACACAAAACCCGATTGAAAAAAAAAATGAACATTTACAGAATTGTTAGTATAAGGATAACACTGTAGGACATTTTATGTATTATGCATTATGTACACATACGAGTATATTTTGTTTTTTTGATAACCGTGATAACTTGATTATAGGTAGTTAAATAGCAGATAGAATGTTATAGCAAGTAATTTAGTTAACTTGATTATTTATTTTAATAAAAAATTCATTACTTAATATTCGCTTATATACTGCAAACCGGTCGTTTTTAAAATTAAACTGTATCGCATAATACATATATTATTGTGTGCAATGTGTATGCAGTTAAGTGAATAGTATAATGTTATTATTTTACGAATTCGATAATACTTTTTTTTTTTTTCGCACTCGTGTATTACTATAATAATACGACGCGATGTATACCTACATCATAATATTATTATATCTATGCGTACAGGTATAATATATGTGTGCGCGCGCGTGGGATTCGGATTGAATGGGCTGTGATTTTTCGCGGCTATAGGGGAACAGAGAGGAGAATTGCAAAAAAATAAAAATAAAACAACGGAATGATCGCCGTAACTTTTTTCCTCTCCTCTTGCTTTCCGGTAACAGCAGTCACTGTAGCTCCACGCACGTACACGTAATCATTCAGGTGTTAAGCCCTTTCGCCTCTACCCTTCCCCCTTTTAACGCCTAACTGCGGCAGTATAGGTATATATATATATATATATATATTTATCGACCGGTAGCGCCGTTTTGACCGAATAATTGAATTAAACTCGGACAATGTCGGCGGTGAAAAGATTTATTACGTGGTGTTATTATTATTATTATTATTATTATTATTATTATCATCTATCCACGAAAGAGAGCCCTTTTGTTTTTCAGTTACGGTTTTCGGATTTACTATAATAATATAGGTGTAGGTCCTATGTCCCCAGTCCCGAATCTGTGCGACAATTGCGCCGCCGTATATACCTATACTCAATGCCTATATAACACACACGTTTATAAATAAAATGGTCATTTTGATTGTAACGGCCCCGAGAAACAAGAACGCGAGAGTGTTGAATGCTGATTTCGGGATAACAAAGCGATATATTACGTTATATTGTCTTACAACCGAAAAATATTTAATGGATTTTTTTTCTATAACTTTCTCTTTCGACTCTGTTTTCCCAGACGGTGTATCGAGAATTTAAATCGCTCTTCGGGGACTATAATTTAGCCTAAGTCAGTGTAAATTATCGCTACTTGTTTGTCGAATTTTGATTTTTCACTGTATTTTAGGAAACTGTGCAATGAACAGCGTTAGAATTATCTATAGATAAAATCATCCGTAATTTTATCTATAGATAATGAAATACTATCCATTATTTATCAATCATCTCGGTAAAACTAAATTATCTTTTTTATATTTATCTTCTTTAAATTATCTTTCGTGTGTATATTCGTAGATAATATACCATATATTCTTCTTCTTCACTTTTGCCATCATTTCAACTCTTTAAGTTCAGCCACCCTAGTCCTAAACTTCTACTTAACTCGATTGCCTACCTTACAAATACCGGCTGTCTTCATATCATTTTCAATTGCTCTAAAACATCAATTTTCCGATCTTCATCTTTCTGTCTTTTTTCTTACGTTTGTTTTCATTACAATCCTTACTGCTTCAGATTTCTCTTTCTTCATGACATGCCCGTCTCAGTCTATTTCCTCTCATCCTGTCTACTATAGAAGCCATATCTAAGCTACCTTCTATGTACTAATGTTTCTCTCTGATTTATCCGATTACACTTAATCTCACGTGTTTCACATCCTTGTCAAAACCACCGTTTTTTTCAGATCCTGGGAACATAATATTACCCTGTTCATCCAAACTCATACTCTATATAGTCTGTTTTATTTCTGTTTAATCTTACACCAATAGTCTTTTAGATATTCTCTTTTCAAGGCTATATCATCTACAAACACCATGGTATCTCACTGTTTTTTTTAAAATTCTATATACTTTTTGACAGAATACTACTCTGGCTGTCGACCTGATGCACACCTATTTGTCGTCTCATATGATAGTATTCTGGCGAATTTAACATGTTTCGTATAATTACATGCGAGGATCAGTTTTTAATAATCATCTGTTATGTACAATGATATATACAGGTAATTCATACTTCCCGGTGGTAATATAAAGGGTATTTAAATACCGTGACGCTGATTGAAAATCCCGTATCATTTAAAGTACTGCGTGAAAAAATCGAAGGAATTTTACTATCCCGAAATGTATACCTACTCTGAGAAAAAAAAAGTACAACTTAGTAAAACTAATAGTTTCTTTGGTATACTCGAAATTCAAATTCACTCTTTTTATAATAATATGGTAACAGGTAACGATAGTAACAACAAACGATAACCACTCACCTGCCGGTCGCAGTTTTTTTTATAGATAGATACGAAAAATTTCGGTCTATGTATAAAATCAGATTTTATTCGGTTACCTCTGGAAAACTAGACCCGAAAAACTACGCTATATAATAGGTACAAAATATGAAAGGAATAATATATAGGAAACCGTCCGGTACGCAAAGAAAAATAAACGTTTCAAAAGTTCGACCATCAAAAACGTAAAAATCTGCGATCGTGGTGGAAAACCGAGCTTCACTACCAGACTTTTTTTCAAAGTATATTATAATAGCGTAGTTGTAGATCGTATGTTGAATTGGGAATACTATTCAGTGATGGGTATGTTTTTTATGGCTTTTTTTTTTATTTTACTCTAATAATACAGGTATATTAAACGTAATTAACAAACAAGAATAAACGCAATTTTAAAATGTAATGTGATTTATACTTATTTTAAACAAATTATTTATTTTAAAAAATTATGTCAACATAAGATTTAAGGTGTTTGTTGTTTTTTGTGCAGTTTAAATGTAGCCTGAAACTTGCTCGGATTAAGCTTTTCGTAAAAAATTAATTTGATAACGATAATAATTGATTTTGGTAATAATTGAACGTTTTTCATATTGTATAGTAATATATAATATTGTGTAATATTGTATATTGTATATTTAGTTCTTTGCCGATAACCAATAATTATTTGATAACAGACCGATCATTTATACACGTCAACATCAAAAATATTATTTTTAAAAATTGTTTGAACTTCGTTATTTATCATATTTGGATTTCAATTGATACAATTTTCAGCGAGGTACTGTATTAGGATATTTTTTGCCATAGGTATTATACAAAATGAGTTTAAAAACTTTGTGTATTATTTCTTATTGATCTCTTTTTCATTTGATAAAAAAAAAAATAGCTTATAATACAGAACATTTCTAGTTCAAATCATAATTTGACTAGAATTATTAATATAATAAATAGTCAAAAATATAACGTAGGTAAATATTTTGAATAATATAAAGTTTACAGTAATTTATCCGATGTTTATGTATCGAAAAAAATGTACAAAACTTATATTTCATAAAACTATTAACGTCAAAACTATATGTTTCAATGAAGACATACGATATGATAGAAGTTTTTGTTTAAAAAAATACGACATTATTAAAGTTTATTTCGATTAAATTTATGATTTGTTAGTAGCTCTTTTTTTTTTAAGTACGACATAAGAACATTTACAACCAACCATAGATGATTTATAAATATAAAGAACTTGTAAGTAAACTAAACCGATATGTATGATGTTTAAGCATGTTTTTTTCTTTTTCAATCAATAAGAAAAAAAATAGGTAATAGGTACAGTAAACGTAGAAATAACTCCTGAAATAACCACCGAGGTTCATCAGCTTCGTCATATCAACTCGGGAACGGTATACTTTTCGTCAAAATATGACCTTTCTTTTTTTACCTGCGGCTTCATATTAAATATTTTGGGAAAAATGTATCAAAATTATTTATGTTTGATCTTTTAAGTACAATGATACTTTTTGAAAAACAATAGAAGCCGTTTTCTTATGGTGCTCTCTGGACAATGCTAAATGGCTTTATTAAAATATTTTGAACAAATATTAAAAATTACTTAAGAAGTAATAATGAATGAATAAAAATATATTAAACATAAACCAATTTGGTAAATGATTTCTAAAATGTTGAACACTAACTTGCAGCCAAAAAGAGCTTATTAAATTTGGATTTGATTTGGATAGTTATTCCAAGTAAATTAATTGTTTTGTGGACTTAAAGTGTATAGTTGAATACTGATTTCCATACATAAGTTTAACGAATATAAAAAAAAAAAAAAATCCCCGTAAACAATTTTTGATAGGCAGTAAATTATTTTATCAAAATAAAAACAATTTCAATTAGTAACTTTAATATACATATGTGAAGTATCCCACTGGGATTTACTAATTGTTTTAAAAAAGATAAACCGTTTTTACTTTTAATAAAAATAACTAATATGTTAATTCCAACACATCGATAGATTTGAAAACGTATCTACCTTTATAAATTACTCGTCGTATTTTGTACGAGAATAATGAAACTGTTTTTATTCATTTCTCCTTGAAATTTATGTAAAATTGATTTTTATAAAATACATCGAATTCCGCATTATGATAGTATTACATGATTAAAAAAAAAAAAAACCAATCCTACTTGTAGTACCTACCAGCCGTGTTCTCTTTACGTTTAAATAAATTGATGATTAAGTGTGTGTAATAATTAAGTATTTTAAAAAAATTGTACAAAAAAAATAACAACACTTAAAATCATCGTGATTCTAAAACCGAAATTCGTTGAAGGTTCTGTGTTTAAATATTCATGAGTATTGTTCCCTTAAAATAAAATAAATGCTTCGTAAAGTACACATTGAATTTACATGTATTTGTACCTATGTAATTATAATTACATAATATCATAATTATTTATACAAGAGTTATAGCAATTATTAGTGAATATAAACATCCAAATATGGGCAATTTAATAATTTTCTTTAAATTATAGTTTTATTTAGAAATAAAAAAAACTATGCTGATTCCAAGTTATTATTTAAATATAATTAAATATAAAACGAATTTTGAGAAACTATACGTGAAGTCAATCAGAAAAAATTAAAACTTCTAAATTAATAGAGCCTAATACGTGTTAAAAATTATTTCTTACTCTCATAAACGTATACTTAGGGTATAACGTACGTACTTGAATTGGGAGACCGCAATTTGGGATGCTCTGAACCTCAATAATTTTTTCAGAAACTATACTACTTATTTAAGTGGAACGCATGTGACGGTACATAATTTTATTAAAATTTGAACATTAAATGAATATAAAAAATTCACTATATTACGTACTACAAAACTTTTTTTTATTCTACTAATTATTTTAATTTACGATAAATCTTGTGTTAAGTTGTCGAGGATTTTCGTTGAGTTAAACAAATTATAATTACATAAAACCAAATAGAAACTAAAAAAAAATTCGAACATTTTGAATGTCTATAAATAATTGAAAAATTAACAAAAATATTTCGAAAGTTCTATTTCTTGAAAGTCTTATATACAAGTATTTGGAGAAGATTCCGACCCCTCTAAATTTTTTTTAACTGAGATACAAAAAAAAAAAAAAAAAATAATATATAACAGACGTTATTCTCGACGTTACCTTTCCTATGCAACTATAAAAAGTACATAAAGGAAAATAAAAAAATGATCTCCCCAAATTGCAACAACTAGACAGTTACTATTTACTACTAGAAATTACAATCTCTTAGGTTGATTATCGGAGCAAAATATTCGGGAAAATGTTGTTTAGACAGAAAAAAGGAAAAAATATACTTTATATAAAATCTATCAATCCTTATTTAACTATATTTATCTATCAATCAGAACAAATTTGGCCTTCAGTAGTGTTATTAAGTAGAGCTCTTTTTTCTTACACCATTATTAGTCACTGAGTTGTATTTAAAAATAATTATAAGGGAGAACGCTAATTTTTTAAGTTTCTCTTGTTTTATTTTTCCAATTCGAGCATTGTTCATAAATGTATTTATTGATATCATTAAATGGAAAATTGCTATCTAAATAATCATTATCTCAATTTTGCTACCCTTTATATTATTTCGTTATTTTTTTATTTTTTGTACAATTCATTCGCAAATTTTTTTAAGAGTTATACACATTTGATCAAAATAACCAAGTTAATTTTTGATCGGGATAAATATTATATGGAATGAATACGGTTATAGAGAACAGTCACAAATAATAATTTAATAAAATTATTATTAATAGTTTTGGAGTCCGTTTTTATAATCCTGTAACGTATTATTTCCATTGGTTCGAAATAGTATGCTAACTTTTTTGTAGCGATACTGATAGTATAGTAGTCATACTTTTCACTAAAATAAAATTTTGAATACTCAGCCGGTTTTTTTTTTTTTAGAAATTTAATGATAGTAGTAGCACATCATAGGTGCAACTAGGGGGGATGCTAAGGGGTCTTTAGCATCCTCAAATTTAAAATTAGCACCTTCAAACATACCCGATACGTTTTTTCGGCCTACAAAAAAATTATAGCCTAGCCATAAAAAAATAAAGAAGCTAAAAATATTTAGTTTTCCAGGGCCTGGAAAAGCTGAGTACAACCCCAGGGTGGTACTAGGTGTATCACTATTATAGATAGGCGGTTGGGAAAGTAGGGTATATTAAATTCTTAAATCTACACTCATAAGCAACGATAAACCATTGCTAATGAAAAACAATTTGGAATGAAGTACCGTTTTGAAATACCGTAATATTTACGATTTTCGTCAAAATTTAAGGTTTATTAATTATTAACACAATCAGTATGATATACTATTAAACCTACAGCGTGCCATATTGAACGAAAATCAACAAAATGCACTTTAATTGTTTTTAAATATAACGCTTATAATATTATATTCTGGTTTAATTTGTATGGTTACAATTTTCTATAATAACTGCATATCATGTTATTTTAAACGTTTTTCACTATACAGTATACATATTTTATACCATTATTTTTATTTTTTTATAAATTGTTCTCGTCTTCAATAGTTTGATCGATTTGCTTCGATTCGCCATGTCGTCGTAACTCCTTCGCAACTTATCCATGTGTAAAATGCATTCAAATTTTTCGAATATTTCATCAATATTGTGGGCGTATTATTTGTACAATCATTTACAAATATGAAGTTTAGAGTTGTGGCAGGGGTAACGAAATTATTGTATAACCTATATTACCTATATTATGTTACACGAAATCGTAATGTCTTACTCATCTAAACCGTAAACCGCTTGGGTATAATAAATAATAATAATATACCATAAAAACGGTATAATAATACGTTAAGAAATATCCTTGGGACCATTACTGGTGTATCCACATGAAGACGTAAAGGTATTAAGGAACAAAACCTAGAGAGTTGGCGGTTATTGTACCTATGACTTGAATTGTAATTTATATTGATAAATGTGAACCCTTAACGGTCAAATTAAAATTTAATTTTATAACCTCCAGAAAAACAGGTATATTTATCAAAAAAAAAAACAAATTCCTATAAACAATAAATAAACTACTATTTACTATAATCGTGCAAGTCACGAACTACGAAAATCATGTAATTATTTTAGTTTCATCTATATTTGACAATTAATTTCTGTTATTTATTTTTATTTTTCACAAACAGTTAATAATATGGTGGAGTAATTTTAGTTGTGAATATTGACATAAATCGCATGCGTTTTATGAAAACTTAGCCGTTAAGACCTCACACTCGCATAAAACCATAATAAATAATATATTTATACATTATATATTATTGTAAATATATAATTGTCGATAGGGAAGATATATGCACTTTAAGCATGTTTTCATTGAAATGTCTTAGTTGAGAAAGTTGATAAAATTCGGGGAGAGAGAGGCACAGTGTATTCCTTCCTCACACTACTGAGTGTAATTACTAAAGGATTTACTAAGTCGTATACAATTATTACTATATCACTGAGATCGCGGACATCGAGGTGATGTCTGTAGGTCGTGAGACCCGGCCACATTTTCGCAGTACGAATTTGTTGAAAATAAAAAATTATGACAATAAAACCATTTTATGTGGGTTGGTATACTAACCAATGATATGTTTCGGTCGTGTCCAGCCATAAAATTCTATCTCGACACACCAAAATGATATAGGAGACCTTGAGCGTTGATATAGGTTTTCATATTATATTATAATTCTTTATGAAGAATGATTATACCCAACAGTTGTAGAATCTATACGTTTTATTCGTTAATATTGTAATAAAAACGGGATGTGATTTTGTGAAAAACCACTATTCAACCAAATTCGAGCCGGTTGGTTTGTGAAATGAATAAGTATTAGGTAGTAGGTACCTGTTAAGAGACCCGATTACAGCCCGTTTTTCAGTTTAATAACATATCTTATGCATAACAGCCCGTGTCGTTTTAATAGTAATTCACTTCTTTCTTACCTTGCACAAACCTAAAAGTACCTTCATCTATTTATGGAATTTTTTATATAGGTTTTAATTTGAAAATTCAAATTGAGTTAGTGATATAACCCATGAAAATAACGATAACAAAAAATTACGTTAAAGTAAAATTTTAAAGCTGCTTGTTTCATAAATTGTCAAAAAAAAAAAACAAACCCCAAACAAGTTATTACTCTCCGAAATGAAGAATGTTATAGGATTAGGTTTCCGGATTAAATGGGTTTTTGGGTTTCAGAACCGGTTCTGTTAGGCGCAGTTTCAATCAATTCAGTGATCGATTAATAATAATAAATATTTATAATTTTAAAATATACCAATTTCTAAAAATAAGAAAGTTTATGTCCTATTATATTACATTTTTGATTAATGGACTACTAACGGTGTACAATTTCGTGTTATGCAACAAAATTATAATTTTTTTTTGTTTTGTTTTCGATAATTAAATTAACAATCTAAAATAAAATCCCAGTGATTAATCTATCTTTTGTAAGCAAGCTTGTGATCAAATAGCATAACTATATGGAAAAATCATAACCTTAAGTATGTATGAACTGACGTTTAATGACATTTAATGCTTATTATATATTTATATAATCTATTTAATCGGATTGTAATATTTTGGTTTTGTTTTGGAATGCATTTTTTTTTTCTTTTTGAGTGAGGTGGAAAAAAGTTCCTTTTGACCGTAGGAAATTTGAATAAAACTCTAAATATACATTTTGATTGTCGTGTGAAGATCGCATGCATAAAACTATTTTACGCTATAAAATCACTTGAATACACGTCAAACGTTTTATTCGATTATTTATTCACATTATGACGTTGAAAAATTCATTTTTTATTATTATATATATATATATATATATATATATATATTTTTTTTTTATATAAATATATGAATAAAAACATCTCAGACAAAAATTTATTTGGTTTTAGTTTTAAACCAATGAATTGAAAACATATACAGTATGTTTCTAAAAAAAAACTGTTGTGAATTCATCATTGCATTAGTGTATATTCAGGGCGTTTGGGCATTATCGTTTACGAATAATATTGTAGGAAGGTAGAAAACGTTTAAGTACACAAACTATCAATTATACTATTAGAACTATCGATATTGGATACAATATTTTTTATTTTTTTTATTTAATTTTAGATTCCGAGCGTAGCGAGGGAGCTATTGCTTTTACTAAGATGTTTATTTATTTTTCTTCTTCTTCAAGTCTGTGGACACGTTTTTTCCTAATAAACTTGCTTCGATTTTACGTGTAGCAACTTTTCTGAAAGTTCAAGATGGTACTATTAAAAGCACTACAGTGGGAAAACATACAATTTCACAATTTCATTATTTTATAAAAACAGGGACGACGTTTTCTACCAGAAAAAATGATTTAATTGAAAAATCACACGACACCTTTTTTGCTGCTTTTTTGATTTGATTTCTTACTATATCATCGCCACACATTTTGAGCCATTTTTAGGATTTTAAAGAATTTTCATTTTTGGGAGTTTTTATGCTGTAATTCGGATATAAATACACGTAATCACTTGAAACTTGGTAATAACACTTATATTGAACTTTCCTAAACGTTGTAAAATTTTCAAAATCATCGGACGACCTTTTTTCTTTTTTTTAATAAGCATTTTTAAATCAAATTTAAACGAAAATAAAATAAAAATTACGGCACTTCAAATTGTGTAATACCGAACTGCGCTTGGAATCGTTTTTTGTCAAGTAATGATTTATCGTTGCTTACAAATATAAATGAAATAACCTTATGCACCTTACCTTCCCAACTTCTCACTTACAACAGTGGCCGCTCCCATTCCCAGTACCAACTCTTTTTTCTAAAATTTTTTTTTATTCCAAAATAATCTTTCACTATAAAAAATAAACCCCGTCTTAGAAAATTTCATGTAAAATACCAAAATAATATTGTTGAAATATAAATAATAAATATTAAATAAAATGTTGTATTTGTATAACTGGATACAATTTACTATTTTAATATTATATTACTATTATTAGTTTTGTATTACATTAAATAATGCATAAAAAAACAAAATGTTTAACTATGCCTAAATACAAGTCTCTAGTTTTGTAAAGAGGTGAAGGCCTATTCTGTTTTGTCAATTTTCACATGAAAAATACAAAATAGATATAAATTTAAAATGCAAAAATTGTGTTAAATTATATTGTCTAAAATGATACTCAGGTTTAAACGCCCGAATGGAGGTCAACTTCAGCATTCAAATAATTATCATCTATATTTATTTACAAACACTACGCAAAGATATTTTTTCCAAGAATTATTTTTATGCACAAATTTATGGTTCAGTTCTAATCACCTTGTGTATAAATATCGTATTTTAGTCCTTTGATGTTTATTGTTGTGCAACATATTTTAATATTTCTGTTTGTGCTATAGCTGTGTAAATGTTGTACACCTACATTCTACATTTTATTTACCCACATATGTCAATAAAATGTGTTATTGTTTATCAGTTTAATTACTTTGTCTGTACTGTTCAAAGTATTATTTTTTAATTTTCGTTGTTCCACGAAAGATGCAAAGTTTAACGGTGGTTTGTGTATAAAATACTTCCCGGAAAGCCCCTTTCGATTTGGTAAATTCATTTAAATATAACTATTAATAATTCAGTAAATTACAGTTAGGAATAATCAATATTTTACAAACTCCACAACTGGGTACCAAACTGCTGCTTAAACATTTTATTTTTCAATAGTATTACGTTCATTCTTATTCCATATTTTAACTGTAATATAACAAAAAATATAATAATTTTTCTTTCATTTAAATTGTGTTACTAAAATCATACTTCGTTTGACGTGTTGATATTTTAAACTGTGTACCTAAATACCAAGTTAAACAAAAAAAAAATCTAGGTTTTCTGAACATTTTCAATTTAGAATTTTTTTTTTATGTTCAATTTTACATGGTTAAATTCTTTGTCTCGATCAGAACTATTATGGTGTATCATAATTTTTTTCCAATTTCAAAATCGTTGACGAAAGTTCGAAATAATCCAATGAATAACTGAGAATACATTACAGTATTTTTTATTTTCTACGTAACGTAGACGTCTACAGTATTTTATTTTTGAACATTTTAAAATAATTTATAATAATATATTGCTTTATATCGTTTGCGTTTAGTCGATTTCTCCGGATTTTATAGCCATCTTTTAGAACGGCTATAAAATAGAGAATTAATAAATACAAAATATTTGGATATTATTTCTGAAACACTATCGACATTTTTACCTTCGACTTCTGTCAGTATATTTATGTTTTGTAAATATTCCTATTCAAAAATAGTTTGTTCTTATTCGGTGCATTATTATCCTTTTAATTAATTCGAGAATTTTTAAAGCTTCACCGTGATGTGTTACATTAAAATGTCAGTTAAAAAAAATTGAAATTGGAACTATTATCGTGTCACATTAACGTAATAATCTCTCGCCTACCAATCGATTTGTGAATAGAAGTTTTTATACTGTTGAATTCTCACACTGGAAATTCGATGATTACAACGTTGAATTGTACAAAAAAATATTATTCAAATGCCCTTTATTTTGCAATTCCTGTATACATAAATATAAGGCATCCATAATAAATTATTTATTTAAGTCTAAAAACATTATATATTATCGAATACAATACTATGAATGCGTTTGTTAATCATAATAAGAACAGAAAACTATGTAAAAAGAAAAAAAAGCCAAAGCATAGAAAGAAAATAAATGACAACATACCAAATGAAAAAAAAAAAAAAAACAGAACAAAACCTATTGTGTATCTTGTATTCTGGCGTTATATTTAAATATTATTTACGTTCGCGTTGACAAATAGCGATTTTATTTGTTGATTTACTTTTTTTTTACAATATTTCTATATTCCAGCTATATTTAATTATTATCAAGCACAATATATAATATGTGATTTATAATAAATCTGTAGCGGCCGTGGCTTACAACTTCTGCGCTCTAGCGAATCTCTAAATTTCGAAATATCTTTGTTTATTCTTAGTTAAGAAAGCACCAATGTAAATGTATGAACTCAATTTAATTATAATTTAAAAATATCTATCTAGACTATCACAGCTTGACTGTGGTTTCATCATTTGGTTCATATGTTTATAATTCTCTGTTGAAAAAACTCTATCGGATTTGGTGAATTGAGTCCCAATTTATTATTTTTAGGTAAATCGATTTCCTCGAAAAAAATGAAAGCTATAAATTGTGTCTTGTTTGAAATATTTAATGTATATATTAAATGTATTAATTTACCTAACTATAATAAATAAAATATATGTTACTCATGTTACTAATAATAATTAATACTGTTAAAATATGAAAAATAAATCAACATAAAATAATAATTACAATAATTAATACTGTCAATATATGAAAAATGAATTAATTAATATTCAATAATTTTGCATTAAAGATTATATTTATATAAATATTTAAATGATACATCCTTAATAATGTCAATTCTACTAATTTTATTATTACAGTACTTCATCATATGTTCCCTTAATATAGTCTCTTTTTCGGTATTCTGTTTTGACTTTTTACTCGTTTCATGGCTTCTAAATTCCTGTTCTATCTTCACTGTGGAACCAACAGCAATAATTTTGGCCCTACGTCTGATAACCGAACACTAGTTTCATTAAAAACGTTTCTATTTTTTCAGACACCATAATTGTAATTAACAGCATTAAAAATTAATAATATCCTTCAGATTTTAGTTTTTACATACAAAATACAATTTTCGCACTTCAGAAAAACGATGGTTTCAAGATAATTTTGTTTTGGATAATCAGATATTCTGAAATTATGGTAAACTAGCCTGTTAATCTAGTTGCTAAAACCACGATAAAATTATCTCTTGCATTTCCAACTCGACAACTAGTCTTACACTGAGACATACAATCGATAATTTTAACGAAATTCTTACTGAAAGGGTACCATTTATTGGCTTCTCAGAATACCAAACTCAATGAAATAAAAAAAGACATCTACTTCTAGCCTTTCCCCATTATTTTAAATATAAAGTTCGAGGTAATGTTTACTCGTATTCAAATCGGACTCAACAAGTTAACGCACAGCCACCTAATGACAAAGGAAAACTCTCCGATCTGCACCTCTGTGACGTCTTTATTATCATCAAGCACATTTTTACTTAATGCAGGCTATCATTCAATTGTTTTTTTTTCAAAACATCAATATATATAAATAAATTTGTATCAATTTTTTGTTATGGAAAAATTTCACAGCGAAATTGAACGTCAAATTTTTAATTATTTTTATTAATTTACGGGTTACCTTGGTGATATGGACGAAATAAAAAAAAAAAAAATTGAAATATAATTACAGTCAACTCCGCTTTGACACAATTTGTTGTTTGTTATTTTATCCCGATAAAGCGGTTGTCCGAATAAAAAGAAATGAAAAGAAATAAAATAATAAAATAAAAAGAAAACATAGTAATTTATTGGTTGTTAGTTAACTACTGATTTATAAATATAGATCAATATTTTTATAACATAATTAATGTTTCATATAATATGTGATATGCAAGTATAACTTAAATATGTATAAAATATTAACAATTTTTAATACGAAAATAATTAAATTTAATATAATTGTTAACTAAAAATGTAATTCTATAACGAATATGATCAGTTTATTGATTATAATTGATAAAATATTCTTTACAAAAATGTCCCAATTATCCGGTTTACAGGCCCGGATAAGAGATGAACATTTACACTAAAATCATGAGTCTATTTTGGTAATCGAATTACTAATTAAGTCATTATCCTAATTAACCGATGACTACTAAGCGGATTCTACTGTATAAATAGGTATAAGAGCTGTAATAATCGTCGCGAGGGTACGCTCATCAAATAGTATAGTTGCTATAGAAACTGGTTATTCCGTTTAGTGTATTTCTTTTGACATAGATACATGTATCAATTTTTTTGTTATGAAAACATGTGTAACAACAGTAGACTCGAACGCCACATTTTAGATTCCGAGCGTAGCGAAGGGGCTATTGGTTTTACTAAGATGTTAATTTTTTTTCCTTTGTTCTAGTCTGTGGACACGATTTTTCCTAGTAAACTTTTTCCGATTTTTACGTGTAACAACTCTTCTGAAAGCTCAAGTTGTCTAGATGGTACTTTTAAGCAGTAGTAATTTTTTTGATTTTCATCGCCGTTTTTTTAAATAAAAACACTCAAGTGGGAAAAAAACGCGGGAAACCGTACAATTTCACGATTTAAAATTAAAAAAAAAAAAATTGTTCCTTTTTGAAATCAAATTTAAACGATTATCTCAAACAAATTTACGGCACTTTAAATTATGCATTACCAAATTGCGCTCGGAATCGTCTTTCGTCAAGCAATGGTTTATCGTTGCTTACAGATATAAATTAAGTAACTTTATGTATCCTACGTTCCAAATTTCTCACCTACATCAGTGGCCGCTCCCATGCCCAGTGTCAGACTTTTTT